CATATTTGGAGAAGCTTTGCTGGTGTCTGCTAATGTTTCTTTCAATGAATCTCACCTAGCAGCAAGTGTTTTGCAAAACCCTTCGCAATCTACTTCTGAACTCCCCTCCTCTCCCATTCCAGAGCTTATCTCTCAACTGAATGAACGTCTCATTCCCTGCACCCTCAGCTAAGAATAAAACATGCACACTCCTCCTCCTTACTTCCAAACACCAAATCAGGCCCTTTCACACCACCATGCACCAGAGAGTTCCTGGAGAACTCTCTGCCTCCTTTTCTGCCTAGAAACCTCCTGTTCATCCTTCAGTACCCAAGCCTCACAGCCCCTCCTTGGTGCAGCCTTCCCTGTGTGCTGCTCTCTTCTCAGTGCTTCCAGAGCACTCTGTGTGGCTCTTTATAATGATGATAAAAGGGCTATGACTGTCATCATATACATCTGTCCCACCACTAGGCCAGGCCACAGGTCCTAGGAGTAAAGGGACTAGGTCTTACTCACGTTTGCATTCTAAGAGCCAAGCCCAGGCCCTGGCATTTGGAAGTCCCATAATAAATGTTTGACGCTTCAGTCAATGCCTCACTATTTTCCTCCAGCCCTCCCTTCTCTGTGCAGAGAGCCATGTGAAATGTGGAACCAAGAAGGGCTTTAGAGTCAGATACCCTGTGTTTGAGTCCTGGCCCTTGTGGGCATAGACAAGTTATTTAACCTGTATCTGTCTCAGTGTTCTCCTCAATACAACAAATAGCCATGCCTACCTCTCAGAGGGCTGCTTACATATATTAACAAGGTAATATATGTGAACCTAGTGCTTGCCCAATGGAAGGAGCTCCAGATGCATTTCCCTGAGCTCAGTAGGAAGTGTTGGGCCAAATGGAGGTCTACAGAAATAGTGAGTGGTTTCCATTCCGGTTTATGTGTCATCAGCATAGTGATGGGATGACCAGCTCACACCCGAAGATCCCCTCTCAGAGCAAGCGACAGTGCAGTCCATGCCCTTTGCTGGAGGTTCTCAGAACAAGGCTTGCTTACCCACAAAGCCCATGTGATTTAAATCTGAATGGCAAAGCCACAAGAGGCTACTCCTCTGAAGGCTGGGCCATCATATAGCCTTCATTTCCTGTTTTGAATTAATCTTTCACCCCAAGACACATCATAAAACAGAATAATGGCAACTCAACAGTGTGAAGTCACTAAGTACAAGTCAAAACAGCCTGTACCTGAGAAGCCTCAACCTTTCCATGCTGTTGCGCCCAAGTTTTATTAGGCCTTGATAAACAATGAGGTAGGAGCAGTGGGGGCCCTGCTAACACCTTAGACATTCAAATGCAGGGTCGAAGAGAAAAGAGGAAGGCATGGTGGCTGAACCCACGTGAAGAGGCCACATGGAAGTGGGGAGAGAGCCACTTGCTGGGAATCAGGAGACTCGGCTTCTGTCTCACTTCTACCCCCAGCCTGCTCTGTGGGCGTGCTTAAGTCATGTCTCTGGGCCTCAGTTTCTTTACTAATAAATGGGAGAAGTGGATTAAAGGATCCGTAGTTCTTTCCAGCTTTAATACTTTCCAATTGTAAATACTGGAGACAATTCCACCTTCCCTAGCCCTTCTCCTTTTCGTGCTGGTTGTCGATCTGAGACATCTCTCATCTCTCACCAAGCAACTTTCTACCAATGCTATTCCCTTTATTTCTCCAAAGTATCCGGTTACCCCTGATCACAAGGCCTGGCCAACTTGGGGCCATATACTTAAGAACATATTTACTATCTTCTGAGCAAACAATTCAGTACAATCCAGGCACCCTGGGGCACCAAGGACTTGAAAATCCCAACAATCTTTAATCCCACTTTCCTCTGATACCAACCAACTTTCACTCCTTAGATCCCTAACAGTCTCACAAAGTTAGAGTTTTCTCCCATGCTGCTTGGCAGGAGACCAGGACAGCAACAGGGAGTTCTTATCTGCCCTCTGGCCTATCTCAGGGTCGGGCAGGGGAGAGCTGGCAAAGCTACAAAGATCAGGATGAAAGTGCTTATAGAAGCAAACCCTGACTGCATGAGGAGGAGGTGACCTGGAGGGGAAGACAGTGCTAATCACAAGGACAGACTGACACAGGCACTGAGGACCAGGACCACAGAAGTCAAGGAGACTTCTTCAAGATGCCACCAAACCTCCACCCTCCCTGACTTCTTGAATAAGAAATCTGAAGGCAGCTGAGGTTGTGACTTGCCCAAGGTCATGTAGCTAAGCTATGGACAGCCAACACTAGAACATGGGTCTCTTGTCCTCAGCCCACTCTTACTTCCATTGTATTCTGTTGGCCTCAAGAGTCTAATGAGGCTGGCTGGATCCCTTGCAGATCTAAGAAACATGACCTAAGTGTCACTTAGGGAAAGAGCAGACCCAGCAGATATTTTGGTAACCGCCTCCCGGAGCCCATGAATTCTTTCCCACCTTGATGTGGTTTCCTTGTTCTTTCTCCAGTCCTTGCCACAAAACATGGAAAAGTTCAGAGGTCAGTGAAAAGGAAGAGGTAGGCCCCCCTGACCCTACAGAACCCTACATATCTAAGGTAAGCCACACCTGCCCCTCTTCCTCAGTCTAGAGAAGGTTGGAGGGGGAAGGGTAGAAGGAAGAGAGAGAATGAACTGCCTGGAAGGCTGACCTATTTGGGCCACAGGTATTATTCATGGACAATTACATGGGTCACTGGAGGTCTGTGACGACAAACAATCGGACCTGCTTCTGCCAAGGACCTCCCATAGATCTGTGCCTAACACAGCATCTCAACTCAGGAGGAGGAAGCTCCTAGTAAAAGTCAAGAAATTACTTAGTTAGTGTGCATGACCTAGTTCCCAGAGGTAAGGCTGGGTGAGAACAGAGCTCACCAGGTCCTTATCATGGCAAGAAACTCAAATATTCCACAGAGTGGTGTTCTGTTTGCTGCCAAAGAGGGTCCACTTATGGTTAAGGGCAGCCAAAAAAAAAACAAAAAAAGTCAAAGTTCACTCATTCCACAAGCATTTATTGAGCTCCTCTCATGTCTCAGGCCCTCCACGGATTTACCCTGGTTGGAGTTTAGCAGAGGAGAGACACTGTGGAATTTATAAAGTAGGCCTGGGCTGTGTCCCAGCCCAGCCCTTAGACAGCTGCACTGCCTTGGGCAGGTGACAGCTGCCTCAGGCAAATTTCTCATCTGTAAAATGGGAGAAGTCCACCTGCTTGATCATGAAGATGAAATGACCTTTTTAAAATGTAAAGTGCAAATAAATATGAAGTGCAAACAACACTGATACAACCCTTTCCCTGCCCTAGAGAAGTGTATCATCTGGGAATGCTTTGGAAACTAATCCAAGATACCTATTTGGCAAGCATCGCATTCTCTGTAATTCGGGCAAACTGTATGTTTCAACCTGCCAGTGGGGATGAAGCTGGCAGTCAGTCCCAGTCCTCAAGTCCAGGAAGTTGCAAGAAGGGGTGGAGTGAATACAGAAGAGTAGCCAGGACCCACTTGGCCCTGGGTCAAGCCTGGATTGAATGGAAGAGCCAGGAGGGAAGGGAAGAGAGAACAACAGCACGTGTATTCGATCAGAAGCAGAACAAAACAAAAACTCATTTGAGGGCGAAAGGATTGAGCCAGCGAGAATGGCACACACTCCCCTCCCCACACACATTTCAGACAACGTTGGAATTCGCTGTTCATTGCCCGGCCCTCCTCTGTGGACAAACTATGTATCCTGTTTCTCCAGAGAGGGGACAGTTTCTCAGGCTGTGGCAGCCTGGCCAATCAGCTCTTTACCTGGGTCTTTCCCCAGATCCTAAGAATGAGAACTCCTGGAGCAGCTTTCCCTGACGACCAGTCAACCCCTTGTCATCCTGCCATTCAGGACTCACCGTGGACTCCTCACCCCCACGTGGTCCCTCAGCGCCCACCAGGCCAGCTGCCAAATGCCCTGACACGCACGCCGGCTGTCCCTCCGCCAGGGCCCCCACCCATGCCTCAGCTTCTTGGATTGGGCGCAGATGCTCTCCCCTCACCCTCACCTTCCTCCTCCCTCCTCTCACAACTAAATGAGCCTCTTCAAGTCCCTGCCAAGGCTCACATGTCCAGGGACGCTCCCGGAGAGAAGGGTGTTTTATTCATCCCTATGTTCCTTAACTCGTGGCTTTCTGTAAGTTCTTCACCCTCCTGTAAACACAGATTTATGGTCCCAAAATGTTCTCTGATTGCTGTATACAGAAGCACAGCCGAAGAGAAGGGATGTGAGGGGTGCCAAAACACCAGACTGGAAGTCCAGGGCCTACATTTCAATTCTCCATTGGACACCAGTTCGTCCTGTTACCTTGAGAAAGTCCCTTCAAGCCTCAGTCTCCCTGTTTGGCAATGAGGGGTTTACTCTAAACAACCTTTCTAATTATACAGTTTGACATTACAGAAACCAGGCTAGCCTGGAACACAAGAAGATGAGTCCTGGGCGCTTATTAGCCTACCACCTGGGGCAAGGTATCCGACTCCTCAGGCCCCAGCCTCCATGTCTATAAAATAAACGAGGATAATATGACCACCCCACCCAGGGCACAAGGTTCCCGTGGGACACTGTCTGTGATGAAGTTTCGTGGACCATAAAGCCCTGATCAAACCTCGGGGTTGAGGCTCCTTGAGTCCACAAACAGCTGTTGGCCACCTGTGATGTGCCTGGTATGGTGCCTGCCGGGAAGGGCTGCCTGGCTCAGACAGGAAGGCTGGAGCCCGGTTCCCTGCCCTCGAGCCTCCCACAGCTGGTGGGTGGGACAAGCACGTGAACAAACCTTAACTCAGTGGTGTATCTGAGCATGAACACAGCGCTAGGGGAGTGCAGAGGAGGCGGTGCTGACTGAGAGGGAACAGCGCACCCTGGGCACGGCAAACTGCCCCAGGATGAGGCGAACATCCCACGCTTTCCTAAGCCTAGGACCAGCCCCCAGAAGCTACTCCATGGTAAACAAGATCCACCACTGTGACTTACTCACTGGATTCTCAGGCATCACAGTGGCTAAAGTCTTCTCCTTCCGGGATGAGAAACACACCGGTTGCCATGTTCCTTGAAAAACAAGAGCCCAACAATGAATGTCAGTGATGTCATCTTAGCTTATGCCTCCTTTCTAGTCCCCGCCAAGAGGGTGCACGTGCTTGTGCACTTTGCCTTGTGGGACACTTCACCCAGCAAGAGGAAATGGACAGAGAATCTCTCTCTGTGCTCCAACACGTTTTGCCCGTGAAGAAAGAAACAGCAAGACGGCTAAACAAATTCTATTGTTGGCTGTGGTCAGGGCACCCTCAGGGCTTACCAGATCTCTACACAAAGGCTTCACTGAGGAGCAGGAGGCATGTGGAAAACAATGCTTTATTCGCTGCTTTAGTAAAAATAGAAAGTGTCAGGATTTCTAAGCTTGGGACACAATGAAAGTAATCAAGCAGGTGTAAAACTTGATAACAAGTCCCCAGTGTGAAACTGGTCCTATCTTCCAACAGTGAGTAACCCAAGGAGTTGTGAAAGTGCACACGCTGATCACGGCTGACTTTCCTCAACTAATTATTCTCTTGGCTTCCAGTGACCACCCACATTATTTGGTGACATCCTATTGCTTCTGCAGAAAATGCCTCTACACCTGTCTGGAAAATGAAACCCAGAGTTACAAAAGATTTCTAATGAGTTACTTCACATTAAAAAACAAATCAAAATATTTAAGAGGTAGCCTCAATGGGACAAAACCTAGCACAGGTGTGAAATTTGACATCTATAAGAGGCAATATTCATACTCCAGGGAGGAATACACACACTTCAGTGGTGGGCCCGCATGTACACACACACACACACACACACACTCCCTCTCTCTCTCGCACACAAAGAGCACACATCTTTAGCGTGCTGGGACGTAGGACTCACTGTTGAGAATTCCCAGCCTGTTAATGGGAGAGGGCCTACAAAGTGCTGTGTACCGCTCACACCTGGAACCATCGAGGGCGGAGACTACGCGTGCTTTCTCTCAGTGACTCCTCACGGACAGCAAACAGAGGCTCGCAGGGCAGACGGCACTTGCCAAAGCTCCACAGCAGGGCAGGACTGGGGCCTGGGACTGGCTGCCCCAGCACTCATGGCCTTTCCCACGAAGCCGAGGGGAAGGTGTTCTGGACGTCAACTCTGAGCGAAGCCCTAATGGGCACGCACACCAGGCGAGCCTGGCAAGTTCCACGGGCGGCCACCTGGGCAGAAGCACCAGCCCTGCCCGCCTGTCATCATCATTATCAAGCCCACACCCCTCGGGGCCTGTGCCAGCTGACAAACAGGCCGGCCTGCCTGGGCCACATTCTATCAGCCTGAGCGGCAGGCTCTGTGTGGCTGCCTCCAGCCAGAAGTCAGAGCAGCTGGAGGCCTAGACTTGTCTGCCCCCTGCTTCTCAAGGGGAGCTTCTGGGAGCCATGGGTGGGGAGCTGGACATCCTGGTGCAGAATTCCATCATTCTGGTCCAACCAGAGTTTCAGAAGCCAGGGACCCCATCATGTTCTCTAGACCTCAGGAACAGAAGTCCCTTCCTTCCCTAAGGCACTGCAGAGACCAGCGGCAGGGACACAGGGCTCATATATTTTATTTACATACATACACACACACACACACACACACACACACACACACACACACACACACATATATATATACATTTTTTTTTAAAGGTGGGGTTTTCCCATGTTGGCGGATCTCGAACTCCTGACCTCAGGTGATCCACCCACCTTGGCCTTCCAAAGTGCCTGGATTACAGGCATGAGCCACCGCACCCAGCCACACAGGGATCTTTAAGGTTCTGCTTGGGTTGTCTTCATGGCGGGTTGAAGGTAGTTATGACTGGACCAGGCTACAAGGGCTGACCACCAGTCAGATGCCCACCCAAAGGACCAACTTGCACCCTCTGTCTGACCAACAACTAAATACACTTTAAGCTCCCTGTAACACCAACAAATTAGGTCCTAGAGCCCAATACCTTCCTGCCTTTCAGGGCCAGGGCCTCTGTTCCCTTATCTGTAAAATGAGGAGCTTGATGCAATTGGTGATTTCCTCACCATGGACCCCATTCAGCTGCCCCCACCAGGTACCCTGACTATTTTAGAGACAAAACGACTTAGTTGTTATAAGAAGAGGAGGGATTAACCCGTGCAGAGGTACTGGCTTTGGTAGTTAACACTGCTACCTCAGCTAATCCTCCCAGCAATCCTGTAAGACAGGTAGTACAGTATCATTGCAGGGGGGGAAACTGAGGCATGACACAACGAAGTGCCTCACCCAAAGTCTCAGTTAGCTGAGACCCCGGCAGCACTGGGACTCCTGATGGGGCTGGCCTGAGTCCATGCCCATGCCCGTTCCGTGACACAATGTTTTTCTTCAACCAGAATGAAGAAACGCTGTCTCTCCTTGGACTTCCCATCAGGCCAGCACCAAGCAAAGAAGCATAAGGTCTCTGGTCCCTCGTGGACCTGATTTGGGTGATACAGGTAAGGTTTCCTGTGAGATGGGGTGGGACATGACAGACGCAAGGGACAGGAACTCGGGGGACCTTCCTCTTGGATGTTTTCCAAGTCTAAGCTCTTCCCTGAGGGACCCCATGCACTTGGACAGGGCCTAGAACCCCCAGGGACTCAGTAAATATTTGTTGAATGATGAAATGAACAAACTCAGAGTTCCAATGCAGTAAAGACATGTTAAAGAACCATCTGGTGTAGGTCAGTGTGAGATATATTAGACCAGCTCAAACCTCACAGCTGACCCTTCAGCAGCATGCAGCAGGTGGGGGTCTCCACATCCCAGCCCCTCCCCAGACAGTGGACAAAGACTTGGGTGCTGAGCCAGACCAGGTGAGCTTCTGACAGAGCAAGAGAAGGGTCTAAATGCAAAGGCTGCCCAGTGAGGCTGTGAAGAACTTGGGCCCTACACAAGGGTCCTATCCCAGCTCTGTCACTTTAAATTAGTTGGGTGGCCATAGGCAAATCACATCATCTCTTCGAGCCTCAATTTCTTATTTAAAAATGTGGATGATGTTAGCATCCACTTCATAAGGCTTCTCTAGAGATTAAATAAGATAATGCTATAGAGGACTTAGCCCATCACGTGCTCAGAGCAGGCACATGGAGGTGATGTCTGTTATTGTCTGCATCAGAGTGGGTGGTTAAGGGCACTTATGGAGCCCTCTGCTTGGGTTCATTCCCAGCTCTCCTCCTAACTAGCTATGTGACTTGGGCAAATTGCTTAACTTCTCTGTACCTCAGTTTCCTGGTATGTAAAATGGGTTGACTGTGAAGATTAAATGAGTTATACAGGTAAAGGGCTTAGGATGTGTCTTGCACAAAGTAAGTTCTATAAAAGTATTACACTTAATTATTAATATTACTAGTATTCTCTCTCTCTCTCCTGATAACAGACTCCACGCCATCTCCCACTCTCCACCCAAAACGGAGGGTATAGGACTCAAGGTAGGCCCATGGGAGTATCTTTTCTCCTTGGCAATGGTACAAGGAGTGTGCACATGCTCCAGGCCAGGCCAAATTCCAATCTGAAAAATCCTGGGGAAGGCCTGGTCCTCCCGGGTTGGTGGCAGGGCTGTGTGGGGTCAGCTGGGACCACTGAACAGGGGACTCTGGTCTGGGGATGCTGGAGGTCACATGCTATCTTCCTGGGGCTTGATTCTTCTGCACCTCTGTCAAATCTGTGAGCCTCTCCTGAAATCTTCCAATGTATCCTTTTTAATTTAATTTTTTTTGTAGAGATAGGGCCTTGCTATGTTGACCACGCTGGTCTCGAACTGCTGGCCTTGAGTGCTCCTCCAGCCTCAGCCTCCCAAAGTGTTGGTATAAGAGGCATGAGCTATGCATCCTATTTTTGCTTAAGCTCATTCAAGTTTGGTTTCTGTGCCTTGAAATAAAAAAACTCCCAACTAATAACAGCCCTCAACAAGTGGCTGCTTCATCATCACCACATCCCACCCAGGAAGAGAAGTTAGCTGCATACCCAGTGAGACCCGGGCAGCCAGGGGAGGGCAAATAGGTGCAGCAAGGTATCTACACACTGAAGTGAGGGGAGGCCACTGCAAGCCTCTGGACCAGGGCCCTTCCTGGGAGAAGAAGTTACTGAAACCAAGAGCAGCAGCCCAGCCCTGTACTCCCTGGTTGAGAACAGAGCCTCAGACCCAGCCCCGGGGCCATGCGTATTAAGAGAGGGAAATAAAATAAAGGAGGAAGCTAAAGCTGATTTTCATTGACTGTGAAGTGGTGCAGAAAAAAATCCAGATACCTATTTAAAACAACTCTTTTTAAAGGAGGAAGAGAGAAAGTGGGGAGCTGGGATAAGGGAAGAAAACTTGCCTTGTTTGAGTACTTAAATGTGCCCCGTACTGAGGGTCACACTCTTTGAGTCATATGATCTTGTCTAAACCTCAGTGAAACACTCGGCGCTGGATGATCATCCAACCCATTTTCCAGGAAGAAACTGAGGCTCAGAGAAGTCAATCACTAACTCACCAAGGTCATGCCACTAGTGCCTCATGCCTGTTCCATCCAATATGCGCCACCTCCTCAGGACACTCTGATTTCACTGGGGCCCGGGGTCTCTTCCTCACACAGCCCATGTCTAGTGTTACTCACTCCTATGCTCATATCCCTCAGAGGTGACAGCAATGTCCTGCTGCTCCTTTATTCATAGTCACTCAGAGGAAAAAGCAGCCCTGAGACACCGACAAGAGAAGCAGGATCTTGACAGCCCAGGTGCATCCTTGGGCAAGTTTCCTTTTCAGGACCTTAGTTATTTTCAACTCAAAGAGCTCTAGTGCGGTTTCACTGGATGGCATGTATCAGTGCGTTTCCAGTGCCTATGCCTGATAACCAGCCAACAGGCTATAAAGCATCATCTCCCTTGCATGCTTCTTGTTTTACTTTCGTTTTTTTTTTTCTCAGCCACCTGTTCCAAGAGATTCTGACTTCACAGGGATGACTACAGTGCCTGGAACATAGCACTGTGCTAAACAATATTACCTTTCCTTACCTCACTTACTCACTACTTTGTGGACCAGCCCCCAAAGGTGATCTATTCCGGTAGCCCATGCCCACTAACACCATTACTTTAATTCCCTTCAGGAAAAGAAGCTGCACCTTCAGAGGTATTTTTAAAGGATTTTAAAGAAATGGAAAAAATGGCCGGGTGCGATGGTTCAAGCCTGTAATCCCAGCACTTTGGGAGGCTGAGGTGGGTGGATCGCTTGAGGTCAGAAGTTCAAGACCAGCCTGGCCAACATGATGAAACCCCATCTCTACTAAAAACATAAAGATTAGCCAGGTGTGGTGGCGCATGCCTGTAATCCCAGCTACTTGAGAGGCTGAGGCATGAGAATCGCCTGAATCCAGGAGGCAGAGGCTGCAATGAGCCGAGATCATGCCACTGCACTCCAGCCTGGGTGACAGAGCGATACTCTTTCTCAAAAATAAAATAAATAATATAAAATATAAAGAAACAGAAAAAAAAAATCCATGGCCTGTTAGCAACATCTAAGAACCAAAACATGCTGACAACCACCCACCTCTCCTGCAGTGTGAGCCACGAGGCGAACATACAAATGAGCAAAGGCGAGTGTCTCCTTCCACAGGCCCCAGGAAACCCAACACCAGGTCTGCACAGGCATAAACTAAATAACCAGTGGAGTGAGGAGTAAAGACGCAAGTTGGTACAAAAGAAGACACACCAAGATGCAAGTGGGAGCTTCTAGCGTTTGCTGGAGAATTAAACTGCAAACTATGATCTGGAATGATATGAAGATCTTCCTGACCACAATCATGTCAAGAACAGCCCTTGGCGGGGCCTTGGCTGTATCTGCGGCCATAGGGAAGGTCAATAAGCCACCCCAAGGGGGATGCCTCACCTGCTGACCCTCACAGGACACAGGCTTCATAATGCCACACTGCCCATGGCCCACCTGGCAGCTAATGGCCATTCTCTTTGTTTTCCAGCAGCCAGCTTCAGACAGTGTTGCCCCAGTCACGGGGGATTATCCAGGCAGGTATTTCCCTTACTTTTCTTTTTCTTTACATAACTTTATTCTCCGATATTTAAAAAATAAAAAGGAACCAGCTAACCAGCTCATTTTCCCTGAGGGCATGATTCGGTTTCACTCTCAGGTGAGACACGGTGCTGTGCAGCATAGCACTGCCTGATGTTGGAGTGGCATGCTCTCACTGGCAGAGATCCATGGGCAACTTGGACCACGGAGAAATCTGAAAGAGGATGGAATGTTCAAGGGGTTCCATTTCCTGCACTCCCCCCACAAACCTGGTTTCCCTTAAACCAGCCAAGAAAGATTAGTCAATCAGCATTTGCTGAGTGCCCTGGCTGGAACAGCAAGAAACACTAAAAAGCACGGGGAACAGGGGCCAGGACTCAGGAAGCAGAGGCGGTAGAAGGATGGGTGCTGTCTCAGGACAGCCCACCCCTAGGCTTGAATCCCAGCCTTGCTGCCTGTCTCTTGGGAGACCTCAGACAAGTCATTTCAGCCCTACGGCTCATTTGCTCCCCTTTGTGGGATGTCTACCTTATAAAGGTAGATAGAGGATTCAATGTGATAATACCTATCATAACAAGAGCTGCCATATGTTAGCCATTTACTATGAGCCTGGGCCTGTGTGCAAGGTACTTTGCATGGATTATTCCATCCAATTCTTACCACTTCCCTCTGAGGCAGGCATCACATCCTCAATCTCGAATGAGAAAATGAGACTTAGAGAAATGAAAACACTTACCCAAAGTCACACAGCTCATAAAAAACAGAGCAAGGACATACCTAGCCTCCACGTAACTGCCTGGAACATGGTGGGTACACAAAGCATGTTCCCTGCCTTCCCTTCAGGAAGCAGAGAGGGTGAGAAAGAACTCCCAGGAAACAGGTAAATGCTGAACTGGGGGCTTTTGTTTCTCTGCCTGGCAAGCGTATGGAGAAAGGAGGGGTCTGAGAGGGTTTAGGAAGCCTTTCTGAAAATGGCAGGGCTGAATCCAGACTTGGAGGATGAGGGTGTTGAAAAGGCAGAGAAGAAGGAAAGTAATAAAGAATTAAAGCAAAGAGCTGGGACCAGGGATGGCCCAGGTACAGAGGAGAGGAGACCAGCCAGCTTGGAGGATGAGGAGGAGCTGGCCTGACTGAGGGGTGGGCAGCCTGAGCCATTACCTTGGGGCAATTCTACTGCGATCTTTCTCACCTGCACCCCACAGGCCCTCCTGCATCAGCTCCTCCAGGCACGTGACCATCACAGAGGGGGCTGAGAATCAGTTCCAGGTGCCAAAGCTCAGAAACCTCTCTCTTCCCACAGCAGGATCAGAGTCCGACTCCATGAGCAGGTGTGTTTGCCAATTCCCAGTCTGTGCTGCTCTGCAGATCTGCCAGGCCCCAATTCTAGACCAAGTGCTGGGGTGCCAAGAAGCTAATGTGCTGCCACGTGCACTTAAGAGGCACCACCCTCAGCGCCTCCACCCAATCATTCAAAGTTGCCAGAAGGGAGGAGGAGGCGCAGGTAAAGCCAAGGTTGTAGAACCTGAGCTTGCGCAGGGTCGTATCTTGCTGGACTTCGTATTCCTCACACCTGCTGGGACACTATAGGTACTTCCTCAATAAACATTAGTTGAGCTGAACTAAACACGAAATTCTTCTACTTAAGGAATAACTCCAAGGAGTTTGACAAGTCTGGATTAAGGGCTGACTTTGAGCCCTGGGTTCAGTCCCACCTTAGCTAGAAGGATCATTTGTCTGTTTGCCTCCCAGGGAGTAAATACTCCCCATCCCACCCATCTGCCCTGTGGCCTCTGATTTGGCCCCTGCACGCCCTTGGCCAGGCCCCAAGCAGTGATTCTGGGCTCTACACCTAAGCACCTGCTCCTCCTCTTGCCTCCTTCACCTTCAGTTTCAGGGTCCCTCAGGGCACATTTACACTCCGGACAATTTCATGCTCAGGCATTGCAAATGCCTAAAGCTGCAATGCTGTCCCCATTGTCTCCCACTCCCCACCAAGCTCCAAATGCTGAGTCCCAGCCCAGACCTCCGCTCCACAAAGAAGGGAAAATGAAGTGGGTATGATGTGAGCAACTCCAACCATCAGCTCAGCTCAAAACCATCACCATGTGCTTAGTTTGGGAGTAACAAGACCTGGGAGCAGAGGATGAAAGTAGAATTGTATAGGCTGGGCACAGTGGCTCATGCCTGTAATCCCAGCACTTTTTGAGGTCAAGATAGAAGGATAACTTAGAGTCCAAGAGTTTGAGACCAGCCTGGGCAACATAGGGAGACCCTGTCTTAAAAGAAAAAATTAGCCAGGTGTGGTGGCATGTGCCTGAAGTCCCAGCTACTCCAGAGGCAGAGGTGGGAGGATTATCTGAGCCTAAGAGGTTGAGGCTGCAGTGAGCAGTGACAGCGCCACTGCACTCCAGCCTGGGTGACAGAGTGAGACCCTGTCTCTCAAATTAATTAATTAAAAGAAAAGAAAAACGAATGAAAAAAGTTCCATATAATTGAGGACCACCAGAAAGAAGAAGGAGAAGATGGGAGGGGAGAGGAGGGGAGGGGAGGGGAGGGGAGGGGAGGGGAGGGGAGGGAAGGGAAGGGAAAGTTGTATAAAGGTTGGTTGGTCACATGACCTCCTTCCAACCCTCTTTAGAAAAGGGCTATGGGGGAAATTATGAATGGCTTTAGGGGAACTGTCAATCTGAAACTCCAGAACAAGGCTTTTTGGGATTGGAAGGCGGGGTGCATGTTTCATTACCTTCCACCTGCAAGTCTTGGAGCAAATGATTCAACACTGCAGAGTCTCCATCTCCTGACCTGTTCAATGGTGACAGTACCCAAGAACCACACTGGGTAACTGTGAAGACCAAATGAAATATGAATGGGAATGTGTCTGGCAAACTGTAAAGCACCCTGGGAAATATCAAGACATTTTCCAAATCCTGGAAGGTGGGCCCTTCAGGTCAGAATATGTGGCTTGAAGGGTAAAAGAAAACCAGAAATCACTGCTTTTGGCAAATCTCTATTGACAGCTTCTAGGACAAAGCATGAGTCTTCGGGGATTTTAGAAAGATGCTGATTGAATTCTATTTATTGTCAAGAGGACACCTACACCCACATCTATATAATAAGGCAAAACAGAATGTCTTACAGACTCATCCTGCAGAGGGGATGGGACATTCTGACCTCAGAGATTAAGAAGGCACTTACAAATATAAAAATAATATAATATTATTAACATAATAATAACTCTTTCAGAGTTATTGAACATATCTTCTCTGATATTAATTGTCATAACAACCCTATGAAGCAAGTTTGCCGATGACAAAACTGAGACAGACATGGACTCCTGTCTTGGACTTACATGACTGGTAAGTGATGGAGCCAGGATTTGACCTGCCAGGCTCTGCTTCTTTTTGGAAACCAAAATGGGTTTCAGATAAAGTCTGAGAGGGTGGCTGAAAGGCTCTGATAAGGCCTGCAGGGCTGAGTCATTGAAGAAAGGTACTGCTTCACCCACAGTGTCTCCCACCCATGCTTTCCCTACTACATTCACACTGCCCTGATCTGTCCTGGAAGTTGACCATGGCTCTGCTCTCCCTGTACCTATCTGTGGGTACCTAATGCCAAGGGAGACTGATATGAGAACCTATATGTCAATATTTACATTTACACAATGGACCACTCGTGGATTAAGCCCAGCTCTGCGATTTACTGGCTGTGTGACCTTGGCAAGTCTTAGTCTCTCTGGGCATCTGCGTCCTCATCTGTAAGATGGGGTCAACACTTATTAGCTTGAGCAGTTACTGCAAAGATGAAATGAGAACATATGCCTTGCACAGCACCTGGCACGCCACAGTCTCGATAAACAACGGTTGAATTGGAAGGCTTTACAACGGATTTCCATTGCAAAATCATTTTCTTCAAGGTAAGAGCTGGTGGTAATAGCAGTACTTTTAACTAGTATTCACCTAGTATTCATCTGCCATAACCTAGATCCACTACATGGATTATCTCATTTAATCCTGGAAAGCATCATGATTTTCTTCATTTGACTCCGTTTTAGAACAAGAAAGGATGTCATCTACGGTCACACCACCCTGAACGCACCCGATCTCATCTGATCTCGGAAGCAAGCAGGGTCGGGCCTGGTTAGTACTTGGTTGGGAGACCGCCTGGGAATACCAGGTGCCATAGGCTTTTAAAAAAAAAAAGTTAAAAATAAATAATTAATTAATTAATTTAAAAAATAAAAAGAAAGGATGTCCCCCGCACATTAATTTGACATACACACATATATTCAGACAGAGAGAGACAGAGAGTCAGTCAAGCAAGACAGTATTTTTGGGCACTTACTATACATCAGGTGCTGTTCTAAATATCCTGTATTCAGTAACCCATTTCATCCTCTTGAAAACGTGCCTAAAGGTAAGTACCATTTATCTCCATTTTACAGACAGGGAGCTTGCGGCACAGGCAGGGAAGTGTCAAATGAGCGGACTTTTTTAGTCTGCAGTGGTCATCTCCTTCTGAATCTCTGCTCCCCTGTCTCAGCCTCCTATATCCCATCCCCCACAAAGCCACAAGGAAGACCGCCCCACACATGTCACTCCTCTGCCCAAGAGCACTCAAAGGCTCCCTACTGCCTAGCCAAAGACCCCAACAGGTTGAAGAGGATCAACTGTGGGCTCAAGATCCCAGTAGGATCTGGCCTTGCCTCCTTCCCGATGGTCCCAGACAAAGTCCCAGTGACAGGGTGAGTCAGTGAAACCTTCCCTAACCACTCTATTTAAAATTACAGCCCTCCCCCAGCTGCTCCCCCCCTGCTGCAGCACACCCCATCTCCTTCCCTGCTTGGATTTTCTCTGCCCTACCTCTCACCACCTGGCCTCCCACACATGTAACTCACTTGTTTATTGTCCCTCTTTTCTTCTGGGAATGTGGCAAGGGATGTTTCCCTGTTTTGTTTTTTCCCTGCTGGAACCCAGCACCTAGAACAGTGCCTGCCACAGAGTAAGAGCTCATAAATACCTGCCGAATGAGTGAATGGGCAGACACGTAAAATGCCTAAGAAGAAAATGTCCCCACAGAGCAACGGTGAAAGAAGGGCTGGCATGCCTCCGGCCTCCTGGAGGCTACAGATGCCTAAATTGAAACGTCTGGGAGCTGGACCCTGTCTTGTCCATCTTCCTGAGATTTACAAGAGCTCCCTGTGAGATCCTGGGCCTTCCTCCTCCCATCCCCGTTCTGAAGTTCAGCACGCTCCAACTCAGTCTCTCTCACTGAAGGCTCTTTGCATCTGTCCTGCACTCACCTGCCCAGCCTCATCTCCCTCTGCCACCTTCAAACCAGGCAATTCCCCATTTCTCCTGACCTCAGCGCCCACTAGAGAGGCTCTCTTCTTACTCCCAACTTATCCATCTACACTGCAACTACCCATCAGGGTCCAGATCAAATGATGCTGTTGCCGCCACCTCCACTCCCTCCTCCAGGAAGCACTCCGGGCCCTCTCCAGCTCACAGAAAATGCTCCCCACACCCACTGCTGCCTCCCCCAGGCAGACAGACATTAGTCACCAACAACCTTGTGGTTTTTCTTCTGTGATTGAGCTGAACTATTATGAAAATCTCCTGTTCCTTTTTTTTTTTTTTTTTTTAACACACATAAGCCTTGCTTTCCCAAGCCCACTATAAATACTTTGGGAGGAGAAGCTGTGCCTTATCCATCTTGTCATCCCAAGGCACAGAGCTATGGCACAGAGTAGATGTTCAATAAATGCTTCTCAATTACCCAGGGTAAATAAGTCTCCTCCTCAACCAGGTCACTTCCTCAATTATAGGGACCTGGACTGGCCACTCCCAGCATGCTGCATTTTTTCTTCAGAGCCAGCTGTGATCTTGGTTACCTGCAAACCTCACCATAAGCCTATGTTCTCAAACAATGTTAGACGTATTCCCGTCGCACTCCACTGTACTGGGCAGACGAGATGATTTGTAAAGCGTCTCAGGTCTGGAAAAGGAAAGTACATACTTTTTCCAGGCAAACTCAGAGATTCAGAGCTTCCAATCTCCTTAAATACTAGAGTTCACAAGAGGAAAAAGCCATGGTGTACGTGTTAGGTGATTGACAGCAGAAAACTAACACAAGGCCCAGGTATACCCTTTGAGCACCAGCTCTCAGTAAACTGAGATAATAATTTACTAAACAGTAATGGTCCTAAAATCTCAAATGACTTTTGAGGGAGAAGGCCCTGTTTACTACAGATCTTTCCATGTGCTGGCCTGTGCCAGCCTCCAGGGGAGGGGCTCCCTGTGTCCCCTCTGCAAGGTAAGTGGGCTGGGACCAGCCAGCTTTACACCTGAGGAGCTGAGGCCCAGGTGGTTAGGAGGCTGCAGAGCCCTGACTCAGGCAGGTGAGTCACTCACTTCTCATGGCCTCACCAGGTCACATTAGCCAATCCGGCATCCCAGATTACCTGTTATTTAAAGAAAAAAAAAAAAAAAAAAAACTGAATAGAAAATCCTTGCACTGGATTCCAAAGTCAAAAAAAATACAAAAGTATTCAGAAAAAGTTTCCCTCCTACTCCTGTCTGCATCTACCTACAGTGTCCCCACTCTCAAACAGGTCACTACTATGTGTCTGTTTCCTGCCCATGTTTATGCATATACACACAAATATAAATATGTGTCTTTTTCTTGACCTTAACCAACAGCAGACTAAACATACTTCTCTGCACTCGGTTTTTATCTTTTAAAGGAACAGACTTGAGACAGGGCAGAGAGACAGAGTACCTCTAATATGAAAAAAAGATGTACAGCTGTGTGAAAAGCCCATGGAGTGAAGAGGAATACTGTGGAGAACACATAGGTGAGGAGGGAAGAAGTGAGGCACAGAGTTACCGTGGAAACAGATCCCACTGGGCCGCTGCTGATCCAGACCCCAGGCGAACCAGAGATTCAGTCTGGAGAGCAGGGCTGGAATCAGACACCTTGAGAGCTTGGGAAACCCCAGTGGCTAAAGGCTAAGCCTGGACTTGCAGAGAGTTTTATCATCTAGAAGAGAGAGGATGTGTCCATAGGAACAGGGACTAACTTAGTTCCCGAATTCCCACGACAGTGGTGGAAGGGGTTAGGGACCAGGAGGACACAGGAACTGCAGAGGAAAAACAATCATTTCCTGTGAAATTAGCGAAAGACCAAGCAGGGGAAGTTGGTGCCGGAGACTCAAGTGGCTGGGAGACCAGCCGAGCT